TATATAGGATATAATATATACAAGGATATAATATATATAAAGGATATAATATACACAATTCTTGCGACTTATTATTAATAACTTAAATGGAAAAACTAAATCGTCAAGCTACATGTCGCAAGACCTACATTATTTCTCGCTTTGACGGATAATCGACTTTTTTCTCTATTTTATTATTTTATATTGTACGCCAAAATACTATTTTAAAAAAAATAATAATAATAAGCAAGTTTCTCACTCGAACATTTGCGTGTACGTTGTATAGTTGCTCGCAAAGCAATTCCTCATAGTTTTTCTTTTTGGCTTATTTAACAAGCCTGATTGTTTAAGATTAAGCGAAGCATTTGTCGGTCATTGATTTACAATTCGTGTAAATAACCTAACCTAACGTAAAGTAGCTGCAATGTTTAATACGTTTGTGTCCTAAAAAATAGTTATTCTTTTCGATTTTATTTATTTATACCTTATATCCTTCTGTAACGAGTCCTGCGTTTCTCTTTGCTAGAATACACTTCATTCTGAGAAGAAAGGCACGTTCCAACTCGATCTCGCCCCGGGAATTCGGCGGCGGGAACGTAAAATTTGCGATATCCGCGGGGCTCTGCGGAAGATTCAGTACGGAGACCATCTCGTTGCGATCATCCGGATAAATGTACTCGAATATGCTGTTCCCCGTTAATTCGACCTGCACACACGAACAGCTTTCGTCAGTAGTTTCCGGATTAACGCGAGTTCTCATTTTCTGTCTAGTATAAACGATGCAACATGCGCGCGAACCTTTTAATAATATATAACAGCATATACAACAACGCATAATGCGACGCTTCGCGGGGAGCAAATTATTGATCGAAAATTATGAGCGCGTGAGATTCTCGATGTTATTTCTTGATTAATTTTGATATCTTCTTAACGTTAACGTTGCGTAGGTAGGTCATCATCGAGTATTATACCGATAAACGTAAATATATTTACTTAGATTGCTGTGATCCACTTTTTGTACGGAATTATCAAACTTGGGGATATTTATTAATTAATTTCATAAACGAGGGGATATCTCCCACCTGCGACAAACCTAAGTGCACGCTTGCTGTCTCGCTTATGTACATAATTTTCCCGTCAGGCGCCACCACGAATATAAATCCATCCAGTGTCTGTAGGAAGAAATCACACAATCCAGTTAGTATAGTAACATTATATATAATATTTACATTTTTATATAATATATAAGGTAAAAGACCCAATTACTGTCACCTGTCCAATTACTGTCACTCTAAGCTATTTTATTTAAAATATTAAATAAATCCTAAATAGTTATGCAAAACAATCTAACAATCTAGAATTTTAAGTGCAATTAATATAACAAAAAATCCAGCACTCAACATTCGCGTCTTATTTCTTTCATTTTAGGGGATGACGGTAATAGCTCTCGCATCGTTTTTTTTTAATTATTAAGAGGGTACTGGAGCCTGGCTTGTAAACTGGATAGAGACCTGTAAACCGACGTTTTTATAACCTAAATTTCTTTATTTTTTAATTTTATTTACTGCACAACATTAAAAGCGCTTCTACAGAAGCAAATAAATATACAAAACTATATAAAGCTTTTGAAAATGGGTATGTAATGCTTTTTTGAACTTGTTTTTCATTCATAATGATAGTATATGGTATCAAATACACATCATCACAATATTACTTTTTGTGCATCAATTAGACAACCAAATCATATTCTGAGTGTTTCATTAGATTGTTTTGTGTCGTACGTATTGCTGTAGTTCAGTGTAAATACGTACATAAGCTTAGAAATAATTTTATATACATGAATATATGGTGAGGTTATGGAAGAAAACTGTATAAGAAAAAATTTATGCTGAATTTTGACATTCCAAAGAACAACAGCAAACTCTTAGCATAATTTACTTATTTCTGTAGAAGCATTTTGGATTTGATGCAGTAAATACGGCACAAAACGAAATATTAAAACGTCGATTTACAGGTCTCTATAGTTGGTATCCAGTACCCTCTTAAATTTATAAATAAAAATAGAAATTTCGAGAGGCGGTATTATTTTGTTTCTTACATCAGAGACATCGAATAATACCGGATAAGAAGAAAAACACACATGTTTTTGATAAATAAGTAGTAAAAACAATTCACTAACGTCAGAGTTTATTATTCAGGTGTGACGGTAATTGGGTCTTTTACCCAATATTCCTTTATATTGCGCACCGACAAAGGATATAGAGTGCAACGAGGTGTAAGTAAATAAAAAATAATAAAAAATGATTTTTAATATAAAAATGTTGCGATTAGACAGTTGCGACGTGCGAGAGAGAAAACTCGAAATTATATTTCGAAAATCAGCGAAGAGGGAGACAAGGAGACGGGAAAAAAAGAAAGGTGGATGTGAAAGATGTGATTGAGTGAATCTACCTTACTCACTTGTAAAAGATGGGAGCCGAGTTCCTTGATGGAGGTTTCCAGTGGATTATTGGGTGGCGGCGCGGCGCCCCATTCGTCTCCGAGACCTGTTTCGAAAAATTCGGAAAAATCACACAATTTTCATTTCGGTATCATAATATATCCTTCGCTTTAAAAACAAAAAATAACATAAAAAATAATTTTAAAAAATGTAAATGACACGCTACGCGCGTTTCTCTGCAACAGATAGATATTACAAGCGGGATTATAGAATAAGATGAAAGACATACTCTTCTCCGTTTTCGTATACACGCATATATATTTGTTGTGATGTTTCGTGTAACAATCTGTGTAACTAAATCTGCGATCGCACAGTTTCGTGCCTGTGCATTAATTAATAGCGCGCGCGCTACATCTTCCGTCATAGCGCAGGATTTTGCAGAAAGTAGCCTTTGATCCGTAGCCTTACGCGCGCACAATTGTGCTCGCTATTTTGTTTCAAGTTTTTTTCTTTACAAAAAATCGTCTATCCGTAAACAAAAAATATACAAACTCGAAAAATTTTTACGCGTTCAACGCTTTTCTTGTAAAAACTTTTTTCAAAATAGCTTGCGCGTTACGGATTGATGTTACGTGTTTGGTGGCAAGTTTTTCTTCGAAAAATTTGATTATCGATCATCGGCACCCGTCTTAGAGAGATAATCGTTTCGGGACGCGGCATTTCTCGATAAATGACACATGTCAGATCTCACAATGACAGATACACACAATGGTTGTGTTTAACACCTCGAAGCGAACGCGGTCTTGGTTTCGAAGTTCGAGTTCTCTCTATATCGCCGTGTTATATCAAAAAAGTCCGTCGAAACTTGACGAAAACGAGGGTGAAGCGCACATGAATATGAAGATCGTCAAAATTCTTATCGAGATTCTGTCGACAATGTAGCGATGTTATCCTCAAAAGATCGCTGTTTATGCGAAATCGAATAAATCGCGCGAGAAAATATTTAACGTTTAATTTAATGCAGATTTGAATCGTGTGTAATAAACGATTGATCTCTCGCGGGAATAATAAAAATCGACCGCGCGATCAAGAAATCTTGCGCGCTCGTTTCGATGACGAAACTCGCGCGCGAGAAAGCGGTCCTGGACGGAGCGGAAAGGAAGAGATGTGCCGTGTCTCTTTTTCCCGAGAATAAAGACGGGACACGACCCGTTCTAGAGGGATGCAGCCACTTGAAATTCAATTCGCCGATGTCGTAAGAGACAGGGTAGGGGGGAATCGAACCATTGGGGGAGGCCATTGTAACACTATAACGGCCCCCATGCTTTGCTTACAAAGCGCCGGGGAGTAACAATGCATTAAGTGCGCAATCACATCCATCTCATCCGATACTATTTGCCCTTTGCTTATAAGAGTCCGGTGGCTGAATTTACGAACACCAGCCCTAACCGCTATAGTGGTAGCGAAAACGGTTAAATTAATTCGCGGGTTTTAACGCGCCCCAATTAATCGCGCGGTCAATATAATTTGGATTGGCGTATATATATATATAACCGTGTGTTCTATACTGGATTCGAGTTGGCTTCTGTTTTAAATTAATGAATCGTTTACGAAATCATTTACGTTAACGAGACGAGCAAGCCATTTCTAACGCACGTGGAAGAACGAAGCTTATTTGATTAATTAATTAATTACGTAACAGTAATTAATAATAAAAGTAGTAGATTATATATGACATTAATTACATTAACAGTAATTAATAATAAAAAAGTAGTATAGATTATACGAGACGTTAAAGCGAAATTTATTGAAACGTACGACATTTTTGATTGTTTTTTTTTTTATACAAAGGGTAATTTATATTTTCAAATAAATTCTTACCGTGTGGAAAAACGGCTCTCATCTTGAGATAGCTCGTGGTTAATCGAATGATGCTGGCCTTATCAAGTTGCGTCGTAATCGCGGCCGGAAGCGGTAGCAGTTTCGCCAGCTCCATAAATTCTTGATTCTCTTTAACGCGGCGCGATCGCGCTGCGTTTTTGCTTTTCTCTTTCATCACTACTTCCTGCGGACTTCCTGCGGGCGCGACAACGCTGGCGAAGTTGTTGTTGTGCTGAAGATGCGGACTCAAATCCAGCGTGTCTGAGGAAAGGCCGTTGCCTGCAATAAAAAAAACTTATTTGTTTGCGCAAACTTTATGCAAAACAGAGAAAGAGAGGACGTTAGTGCGTGTTATTATTAGAACTGTTACACTGAGAAAAAAAACGTTGGTGAAGTAACAAAATAGTATTCGATTTCAACTATATGCAGCGGTCACGGGCTGTCAATAAAATATTGATTAATGCAAGAAGATATTCATGTTTCAATAGATATAACAATTAGATTATTACCGAAAGACAATTCAGTTGTTTTAACAAAATTTTATAATTTGCTTAAATACAGGTAACTTTGAATGTACAACACAATAGGACAACGCAATATTTTGTCTGCTTATAAAAATAAGCAGTTTGATTAAATGAAATACTTGGTACAAAGAAATTCAGATTATATTCAATTAAATTAAATGAGAATTGCCTATTTCATCTTTTTTAACAGATATCTTTTATTTGAAATTATCACAACTTATGTTCGACAAAACAATTCACGGTTTAGTGAATTAAATTATGTTCATTACTACTATTGTTAATTCAACTTATACGAATTTAAGAATCTTTTTAAGACTCCAAAGTTTCCAAACTAATAAATATATATTCGGTCATGAGAGCCTTTCGCTAGGTGTTGTGCGGAAATTATACGTGTATATGTATACACCGAAAAAATTATATTCTCGTAAGTAGAAGATTTTATACTTAAAAAATCTTCTTAAAGATTTTAGATGATATTCTTCTGAAATTAAGAATATATTCTTTATTTAAGAATATATTCTTAATTTGAGAATATAGTCTTTTTCGATAGTGAGATATATATACACGGGAAAAAAAGATTTGCTAGAATAGCAAGAAATTAGTTACTATATGGCCAGCAAAAAAACATTTGTTAAGTTTAGTAAACTTTTTGTTTCACTAACAAAACATTTTGTTGATGAAACAAACAATTTCGTAAGGTCAACCATTTTTCTTGCTGACCATATAATAGCAAAACTTTTTTTTCCGTGTATGTTTTTCTATAGAGGCTTTTTATATTCTAATCAGTATATATTCTTATCAATATTACTATTTAGAGGATTTTCCTCCTAAAATAAGAAACTCTTCTTGGCGCCTATTTTAGTATAAAATATACTTAAAGTAAGTGGGATATCTCCTCAAAACAAGAATACAATTTTTTCGGTGTACATATATACGTGTTCACGTGTAAATTTTTACACGTGAAATTCGAATTGTAATAACAATTCTAAAATTCACATATAGGATACTACACCGAAAAAATTATATTCTTGTAAGTAGAAGATTTTATACTTAAAAAATCTTCTTCAAGATTTTAGATGATATTCTTTTGAAATTAAGAATATATTCTTAATTTAAGAATATAGTCTTTTTCGATAGTGAGATATATATATGTTTTTCTATAGAGGCTTTTTATATTCTAATCAGTANATATTCTTATCAATATTACTATTTAGAGGATTTTCCTCTTAAAATAAGAAATTCTTCTTGGCGCCTATTTTAGTATAAAATATACTTAAAGTAAGTGGGATATCCTCAAAACAAGAATACAATTTTTTCGGTGTATACTTGCATCTCGTATATGAGAGATTCCCAAATACCCCCCTAATTGAAATTAAATTTATATTGCGAAAAAATATAGCATCCTATATGAATTTTAGAATTGTTATTACAATTCGAATTTCACGTGTAAAAATTTACACGCAAACACGTATATATGTATATATATATACAAGTATAATTTCCGCACAACACCTAGCGAACGGCTCTCATGACCGAATATATATATTTATTAGTTTATACGAATTTGTTATCTTTATTATCCATATGCTTGAATTAAAAAACCAAGTATTTCAGATAACAAACTGAAAACTCAACTAAACGCATTTGGTTGAGTTAATAGTATTTTTTTCTCAGTGTACATTAATTATTTGTCTATCTGTTTAACAATACGCGTGCGCCAACAACAAGATTTAAAATCAAATTAATCAAAAGACGAGATCTCGTAATTGTACGCGTGACCTTTGTGTATACAATTTAATATGCATGGAATGACATTAGACACGTAATAAATACAATAGTGCAATTATCAACGTAAGATAGCGTTATCAGCTACACTAGCTAAAGTACCTTAATTCTGCTGACAGAAGGAGTTCGCGTTTGACGCACGTCAATCGCGTTCCCTATCGTCGTTAACTCGACGAAATTGTTCTCCGACAGACACAATCTCATCACCAAAATGCTACTGTGTTTCTTGACATCGGACAGAGATGTCAGACAGAGACGTTTAATGTCGATCGAATGATCTTGAATTCCAATAATCTAGTAAAAAAACATAGCTATTGTGTGTGTGTGTGTGCGTGTGTTTTATAATCTAGATTTTGGAATCTAGAGATCGCTTAAAATCGCATCTTTTTCGCAGTTTTAAATCTCACAGATCTCGTCGTATTTGCTTTTTTTCGTTGATAGCAATAATATTTTATTTATTAAATGCTGATATTAGAAAGATTTATTAATCGCTTCCAATGATGGCGAAAAAAACTTATATTATCCAACTGAAATATTGGTGTACTGTAAGATTTTATATCATTCACACGCAAAGTGATACGAGCAAACGCCTTCTATGTGTAGCTGACGTTGCCGCCGTACGCGATGCAATAAAAAAAAAAAGTTCCACTTTTCACGTTTCGTGCAAAATCGCGCTGGATGGGTCGTTGGCCTATCTCGCATAGAGATCGAAATTTTGCAATTATTTGTCTTGCAGTATTGGCGGTCGTGACTTTATTTCGAAATCACGTTCGAAGCTTCCAAGCCGAATTACATTTTTTTTCCCAGATGTGAAATAGAACCTCGCGTCTCTATGGACACAACGCGCGCGCGAATCCATAAAAATCGGGACTACGAATTTTTTTTAATTTTCCACAACTTTGCGGACGCGCGCGTGACGAATTTCGAAAGTATAAGCCGGCGAGAAGAATTTGCGACGGAAGAAGAGAGAGATTGTGCCAACAAACCGCGGAGCGTAAAAAAAAAAAAAAAAAAAAAAAACTACTATTTCAAACATATAAAATGTCCGTACTGTTTCAAAATGTTGATTTCAATGATAGATTTTTATATTTCATATTTCAAAGTTTTTAACGTCGACGCAACGAGTACGTACATGGAACAAAACTCAAAAGATGTGAAAAATTGCAAAAAAATGTTGAATTTTATTTATCAAAACGAAAAAATAGACAAGACAACGCTAATATTAAATAGAAATAAAATATCATTATCCAAAGAGCAAAGCGTAATGCACAAGAATAATAATTTAACATCATGTCGTAGCACGGTCTTTTTTCGTTTCGCGATTATTTAATTGACAGAATGTTTTGCCGCGTTAATTCTCGAGAAAGCTTTTTAAATTTTTATTTTACATAAACGACAACAAAAATGCATTTAAATCCCGTTGAAATATGTCGCGTTTTTAATAACAGAGAGACCGAAATGAAATTCCTCGAGAGAGTATATACCTCTCGAATCTGCGCGCGGTCGATACGGAAAAGGGATTTTGATCGCGTCGTCGTCGCTCGCGCGGGTGTGATACGGGCGCGCGAATGCGGCGCGTAACGACGGCGGCGTCGATGCTCCTCGTTATAAGAAACGAAAGCAAAGGGAGCAAACCGTCATTAAAGCGCCGGCGAGAGAGCAACCTAACGACGTAGCCACCCGAACTTCTCTCAGATGGAAATTCGCTTGAATAATGCATTTTTTTTTTCTTTCTCTTTCGGTCGCTATCAACTTTGCATCCGCTGACTCTCCAAAGTGACGCGCGCGTTGTCTCGACATCTTTTCTTAGATGATTACATTAACACCAGATTTACCAGACCGGTCATTTTGACTGGTCGTGCAATTTCAATTCAAAATTCCTACTGTAACATTTGCTTTCCGAAATGATTTTATGACTTTTAGTAGCTATATAAGTAGAGAATACATTTTTATGAACTTAATGTTACTTTAATTGGAAAAAACGGCAGTAAAATAATAAATTAAAATATAGTTAGACCTTCCTGCCTTTGGACTGCAGTTAGTGGCAGTAAAATAAATAAACGTAGAGAAATGAAACATGACTCATTTGACAGTGAGTCTCTTATATTTTATTATCATTGACTCATTTCATTTATTTTATTTTTTTTTTTTTTAATATTTTTTCTGACTTTTTCTATTGACAAATTTTTTGACTTCATTCGTATTGGTTTTTTCAACTTTTAATTTGACTGACATTTTTCTGACTATTTTGTTTTAATTTTCCATAATCCAATTATTTATTGTACAATTTTCATTTTATTAAAGATACGATGCAATGACAAGTTTGACGTTCACTAATTTGTATTGCTGCCTTTGATGTCTCTCATGTTTTTCGTCATATAGTGGCGTATATTTATTTTTNTATTGAGGTGTGTATGCGACTTTTTCTACCATATTATTCTGTTTTCTTAATTCTGTGATTTTCCTAATTTTTGTATTTATTCAGCGTGGCTGAGGATGATCGCAATCGTCGCGATCGAAACGTTCCACAATAAATGAATAATTTCATTTCTCTACGTTTATTTATTTTACTGCCACTAACTGCAGTCCAAAGGCAGGAAGGTCTAACTATATTTTAATGTTACTTTATATATATTCGTAACAAATATATGGTAAAAAATATATGGTAATAAATATATGGTAATATATGGTATTAAATAGCTGGTATATCTAGTGTTAAACACGTGGAAAACACGCTCTGTTTTATTATCTTACTGTTTGTTAAAAAAAAAAAAAAAAAAAAAAACAGTCTTTACGTGGCAAAAAACATTTATAGTTTCGTCATAG